AGTAGAACCATACCTCAAAATAAAACAGCTACTCCAAAAGGTAATACATTTCAGTAAGTGCAATAGCAGTAAACCACCAATAAGAGGTTTGAAATGTAAAAAGATTATATAGCAACAGAGGAATGACAAACCAGTCAGAAAAAAAACCTCTGACATAGGGTTGGGCCGATAGACGATGCCATCGTCGATGGCTGATAGACATCACAATGTTGAGCCGATGTCGATTTAGGGAAGAGCCTGATCTGTTTTTTTAATCAGTAACAGACAAAAGCAAGCCAGAAAAGAGAATAGGCTATTTTTACGAGTCTTGGCTTGCATAAATACCTGGACTCTAGGGTCATCTTTTATGGTCTCTTCTTTCATTCTACAAACAAAATTATAAAAAAACATTGCCATACTTCTTGGCATGAAAGAGCATGACTAAAAGACCATTTTAGGTACAGTGCCTCCACAAGCTTGTGTGGACAGTTATACATTCATCATGTTTAAAATAATGTTTCTTTTTTTAGAGGTATAGATGTAAAGAAATTTCTCAAACAAGATTGCTGATACGAAATGGCGATACGATTTGATCGGTTATGAATAAACTACAAAAACATGCTTAGTCTGTGCAAGAAAGCAAAGGATCTGTCATCTGAAGAGCTTGTTTCTCTCTCACACTCAAGGTGAGCATCTCTGCTGAATACTAACCATCTAGAGATGGGACACAGAAGCTTCATTCACCCTACAGCCATGTTGTTACCCAAACTGGGCATGGAGAGACGTTAAGCTCTTCCAGTGGGCAATCTCTTTACACATAGCTTCTGAAAAGTATTTTCATTATATGAATAAACAAGTGAAAGTAGCAATGGCATTCTACATCTGAAAAGCAGCAAAAATTTGAACATTTTATATCTTGCCCTATTTTCTTCCACATCAAATCATTTCTAGCATGCTTATACTCCCGAAAGGTGGAATTGATTTCAACAGCACTGCGAAAACATTTTCCAGAGAAATAAATCATCTCAAGTATCTCTCCATTTCATTTATAGGGAGGGAAAATTATCTCTGTTAAGCAGACAAAGAATTTTCCATTCAAATAAATTACAGATAAAACCTTATGCAACCCATCTGCGAAAAGGATTTTTAGAAAACAGTGACAATTGATAAATGAATGTTATACTTAGAGCATTGTTAATGAGCAAACGCTGAAAGGCATTCAGCGGTAATTGAGATTATTAAGCATTTTCGAATTATGGGCAAAATGCATTACTGGTCGACCTCTAATTATAAGCAATAATATATAAAGTTTAAAGAAGAAAGCAGCAAAGCGTTTTAAAACCACTGGCAAAGGCATGTAGCTGATGAACAAAATATTTTACCCCCATCACACATCCCATAAAAGACGGACTTCACAGCGCAAACCCTTCTCTGTTTATGTCAAACCCTTTTAAATCACATACCCAGAGACACAGACGTCACTGGGCTCTCAAGGGGTATGCAGGGCAAGATAAATATTTCAAGCGTTTAGGAGCACTAAAAGTCAAAACCAAGAAACAAATTGAACTAACTTCTGGCTGCACATTCCCCACTGGTATGACTAGGTCATGACCCTCTGTAATCCAGATCACATAAGAATAATGAATTATGAAGTGAATGATGACAGATATCAGAACATTATGCCCGTATAAAAAGTTTATATAAGAAAAAGGGTGTTGTCGCAAATTAAATGTGACATCTGAATATGCCATCATGTTGGGGCATGTAGCAAATCGGCACTTCTCGCCTACGAGGAAGTGCACAGAACATATACATACTAATGACACTGATATGAGATGACCTGTAAGAAAAAGCAGAACTTGCCCTTTATTCAAGGGTTGTTGTTTTTTTTAGTCAGATCACATGGCCTAGCAAAAGAGAAACAAATCTAAGGGAAACTGTTGACATTCATAAACTTGGCTAGGTTGATGTGCGTGTTTCTTCAAAAAGTACCTTTATTCACCTCAGAGTGCAATGACTATCACAGATGAGATTTTTCAGGGGAAAAGCACCGCTCTAAAACATTGAAGTGAGAGTTTTACACAAGAATAAGGAATGCATAGTGCTACTGACAAATACATGTTTGAATACCAATACACTACTATTCAAAAAGTTTGGGGTGAGTAAGTGTTTTTTTTTTTTATAAATGCTGTTCTTTTGAATCCTGACAAAAAAAAAATTATGTATCTCTGTTTAAAAAAAATTATATATATATATATATATATATAAAAGCATATTGCAAGGTATTTAGCAACAACACCCAGCCCTACAGATGTGCAAACAGGGTATTTCAATACAATATGACGATGAAACAATGTATGCCTCATACAATAAAGATGGACATAAAATTAATGATTCAACATTTCTGCCCATATTTTCTCAGTAATTTTATGAAATTCTACACCATCAGGGTCAGCATAGTTACATCTGGAGCATTGTATGACTGAGATATTGGGAATGTTTGCTCAATCTTCTAGAATTAGGTTTAATCCTATTAAGTTTACAACTTAATCCTATAATAAACTGAGCAGAGACACAGGACTTCACTGTTATAGATGGATATTTTGTTGAAGAACACTGAAAAAGCATCTGACCAGCAGATTACTGAATAAACAATGACTATTCAGCATGTATGCTTATTCTACAGCCATTCTAATCTAGTCTTTCCCAACCTTGTTTGTCCCCAAAAACCTCATCAGTGAGCCTATATAGCTCCCCTTCATCAACACTAAAGCAGATATGTACTCCATTTTGATTCATTTTGTAATATCTATATTATTAAAGTGGCAATTTTTACAATGACACCTTCTCTTTTTAAACTGACACTTGAGCTTGTTTGTCAGGCAGGCCATATTTTTTGCAGTTCAGGAATCAGGGGGCCATCAGAGAAACTCTACCTGAAAAAAATACCTAATGGTAAATGTATTAATAAAAGAAATCTAGATATAAAAGTCAAGTCCTTCGCACACTAAAATGTAAACACCAGAGAGCTCAACAAGTATGAAATGTCACCCACCTACAAGTAAACACACAGTCATGTATAGATTTAAATGATAAGATATGACTACAGGGAACAAAAACTCAAAATACTTGCAAAAATCTTATTAAACCTGCTCAAATACCCACTAGAAGTATATACACACCAAATCAACACTGAAAAGCATCTAACTAGTAAATATAGGAACTACAGAGCTAGCTAAACTTGAAGCAATGTTCAAGTCACACTTGACAAGCAAACAAATTCAATTGTACAAGTTTCGGACAGGTGTTGAATCCAGAGGCTTGCTTGTTTTCACGATAAACTAGACAATTCAAATGCAAGCCACCTAAAAGATAAACAAAACCTGTTGCACAGGCCCTATCACTAATGGGAAATTGTTATGTTAATGTATTGCACTGCACAAGGATTTTCACATAATATTTTGAAAATATGGTACTGTATATATGCACATTGTAGCTTTCCAGCAAAAAATCAAGGTACTTTTAAATCAAGGTATTAAAATGCAAAAAAATAAATAAATAAATAAATAAATGAACAGATACTATAGGGAGTTTATCAAATATGCATAGTTCTACAATACTGCTTAAAAAAACAAGATAACTCTGCCTTGACTTCACAACTCCCATGCTGAAGGTGATAAGGGCACAGCCTCTACTGGCAGTGAAGTTACACCCAAACATCCTAGAGACAAAGAGGGGGAAAAAAGTGGCCACTCAGAATATAAAACAAAAACCTAACCAAAGTACTGACATAACAGATTGTGCTCAAGATAGCCTACATGCAGGCCTGCTTTCAAGGTTAATATGTAATGTATACTGGGTACAAGGACATCTGAATTCTAATTTCAAACTACTAAAAGAGATAGAAAAGTAAATCTTTACAAACTTGCTCAAAAAGCAAGATGGATTACTAAATATAAACTAAAATGGGTTGTACAAGTGAAAAGATTTCAAAGCTGGATTGTATTGTGTAAATACAACGGGAAACAGTTGAGATGCATGGTAAAAAAAAATGAGAAGTGTGCGTGCCTTCATGTACTCTGTTTTTCCAGTATGTAATTTATAATTACATATTATTAAGTGAATATAGGAAGTAAGGCTCAGAAGTTCCTGAAGGCAGAGTATAAAAGTAAAATAAACAACTCTTCCCACACAATTGGAAGAAAAGTGCCACATTTCAGGAATACAGTACACGGCAGCGGCCCAAAAACTATAATTTATTATCCAAAACAAATCTACTGTCCCAGATCAAAAGTTCTCAACTGTATCCAACAGGAAGTAAAAACCCACAAATCGACATTTACCAAGTCCAACCATGCTGCCTATAATAGTTCTGTATTTTATAGGAAATACAAGTTTATCAATAACTACAAACTAATATTTCGTCCCAAACATCAAACCCTCCTGAATGACAGCTTCGTTTAGCATACTTTAGAATAAATAAAGGTTTCGACAAAAACAGTTTTATTTGCATTATATGTGTATTTAGTGTTTAAAAGACACTTGGGCACGTCCCACTTCTTGTAACAGGGCCTCTAGAGAAAACGAATAGAAAATAAGCTCAAATAGGCTCATATTGAATTGACCCAGTGAGGTTAATGAGCAATATTTCCTGAAGTACTAGCACCTAAATTTCACCTTATTAGTTGGAAAAAGCTAAACAATTCAAGGGAAACATGCTAAAGTGCCTAATGCCATAAGCAGCACATCCACGTTGGGGCTCTGAAAATAAACCAAGCACGCGCAACATCCGCAGAAACGCCCGTCTCTCGCGATCAGCCGTCAGCTGGGTCAAACTAACCCATACAGCGAAATCATTATCACGGTTGTAAGTCTCATTCACCTGACATTTTTCTCTGAGTAAAATATGCACACAGGGACTTGTAGTAACTGCCTGTCGACCAGTAACAAAAAGCTCGAGCTGGAAGGGTTCCTTTTTTAAATTCATAAACAAACAAAAAAATGAATAAACAGGGACATACATAAAGCCACACTACCTCTCGGAGACTTTGTCCTCCGCAGTCTCTTATGCTATCTTGTGGAACGCATTAATCGCCTGTCCCGACCGGTTCAGACTCAAACACCCTGTAGTTTCTCTGAAGCTGTCGTTGCTGCCATATACCCCACCCTCAGGACATGCAAATGAACCGGATATGATGTCCAACCCGTAGACTCCGCCCTCTGGGTGAGGGATGAACGGATATGATGTAATGCACAAATCATATGTTATGCTGCTGGTAGATACCGGCCATAAATATTTAATGATGTAATGTGTTTGTTATGACTTTAAAGGAACAATACAGTATTCATAAGAGCAAATGCTAATTATACATACACAAGTTTGCAATCTTCATGCATGATTTATCTCAGCGGTAACATTTAGACTACAAAGTAACCAAAACAACAAAAAACTGTTAAACTGTATGATTAGATCTTAAGTGCCTCTTTATTATTATTATTATTATTATTATCATTATCTAAAAATATGGGTTTCAAACCTTTATGCTAAAGACTTCCAGACACCAGGGGCCCTTTGGCATAAAGACTCCCACTTCTAAAAATGTAAAGACAGATATTTTCATTTATAAAGACCTATATTTACTTTTTTACTTTTACCTTTAGTCATATAGCAGACGCTTTTATCCAAAGCGACTTACAAATAAGAAAAAGTAATTAAAACTGAAAGCTAAAACTCTATAAATACTATGTATATACACATTTAAGAAAATAAAAGAAATTAAATAAAAATGACAAATGCATACAACAACATTTCAAAACTAAACATTTAAATGAACACAGAAAAATAAAGCTAAAAACAATTCAAAATATTAAAAGAACAAAAGGTATGAGTATAATAATGATTCTAACATAACACTAAGCCAGACACTAAAAAACAACTACATGTGTGTATGTACAGCCACACACATACATATATATATATATATATATATATATATATATCATTTCCATCAAAATAAATCCAGGACTCCAGTCACCACAGAGAGGCCCAGAGAGCAGGCACTGGCTTGGTTAGGGATTATAAAGCCAGTAATCAGACCAAAGTCCAGTTACGGTTGATGCAAGGTCCTTAGACCCAACTGGCCACCAATCTGCATTTTCCAGAGGCCCAGAAATATTTTTTTGCTGATGCAAAAAAGTCCCAAAGGGCCCAGAAGACTAGTGGCTATCTCTCTTAGGTTTCCACTACCAGTCTCCAGTCTCTCCACCGGACTCGTGTGTGTGTGTCGGTATAAAGGGGGAAAGCAGTGGACCAAACCCATTTGAGGCAAGAGAGGGGGACTCAAAACGTTTCTAAATGTAAAACGCTTTTTTGCATCTATATTGTTTTACTACTTTCACAATTATTTTAAGTGTAGGCTCAGAGGGGGTGGGACCCCCGGTACTAACAATTTTTTTATCATGTAACGTTAATTTGGAATCAGTCACGGATCGCAATTTGTAAGTAATCTACCCAGCTCTGAATATAAACGTGCTTAGTGTTCCGTGCCGGCGAGTTTTGTTTTAAAAATGGGAGTGTGTTGTGTTGTGTTGTGTTCAGTTACAGTCAGAGACCCTTGAGAGAAGCAAAGCCACAGCGGATCCTGCTTCGCCCCTCCTTCTCGTGTACTGACACTGGCAGCTAAACCCATCATCATCGATTATCTTTTCAATGAAGAGCAAGGGAGGGCATACATTCAACGACGATTTTGAGCGGTAAGGAGTTTTAATACCACATTTACTAACAACGCACTCTAAACGGTTACATTACAGTCAGCAAAAATAACACAAACTCTCGCGCTTCTGCTTTGAGGACCTCTATCCACCGCCCATTGCTTTCAAGCCTTGAAGCAGTTCTTCCTTGCGGTCTCGTGACACTTTCGGGACTTTCTTCAACATGAAAAGTCACATAAACTTCTTATGATGCAAGTAAATAGCCTACTCAGCGACCGCCGTAAAGCGATTAGGTAACTTAATGTTTCTTAGTTAACGTTACATTTATATGCCCATTACAATTAGCTCTGGGCGTTTACGTTAAAAATCATACTGTGGTGAGCAACGTAGCCTGAAACTAAAAGCAAAAGAGAAAAAAAACCTTCCAAAGGGTAACGTATTCTATTCTTGCATTACTGTATACTGTATGTAAAATAACGTTGACTAAATACGATGATTCCCTCATATGTCACATTTTGGTTGTGTAGGCCAGTGGTTCCCAACCCTGGTCCTTGAGGCACCCCAGCACTGCACGTTTTGCATGTCTCCTTAATCAAACACACCTGATTCAGACCATCAGCTCATTAGCAGAGACTTCAAGACCTGAAATTGGTGTGTCAGAGAAAGGAGACATGCAAAATGTGCAGTGTTGGGGTGCCTCAAGGACCAGGGTTGAGAACCACTGGTGTAGGCTATGAACGTGAGGTGTGACATGTTGGAAGGGATTTATTTTCAAAACAGTTCACATTTGTTAAAAACAATGCTTCGTATACGTTAATTATGCTGAAAAAGAAATGTTGTATACAGATATCAAACCATAACCAAACACATTCAGATTTCAACAGTAACATGCTAGTACAGGTATCCCGCAAACTTTTTGTTGTCTGTAAACAACAGGAAATAACATGTGTTCTTATTCTTTGTGTGTGTGTGTGTGTGTGTAGTGCACAGCACAATTGAGTACACCCCTTCTGAATAAATGCAAAAGATGCATTTTCTTAATGATTACTAATACAATTCATGGAAAGATGTCAAAACTGAAATGTTTTAAACATACACTTAATAAAAACAGAGAAATATATGCCATTAATGTCTGTAAAATAAGTAAATTAGCCAATTTTGTTTAACTGAAGGATTGCAGAAATGAGTACACAATTTAATTCAACAACAACAATTTAATTCAACAAAGCTCTCCCAGGGTTTCAGCAGTATGTTTGTAACAGCACACGGAAAGATAAAATATTAGATAAATATTATGGTAACATCAAAGAAGCATATGTAGCTAAGATTAGGGCTCCTCTTTCAAATTCGGACCATAATACCATCCAGTTAATTCCTATTTACAGGTCTGCCTTTAGGAAGAGTAAACCAGTTTTAAGAACAGTTCATGTGTGGCAGGATACTACAAAAGAGGAGTTGAGTGGTTGTTTTCTGGCTACAAATTGGGACGTTTTTTATCAAGATGACAATATTGACAGTATTGCGGAAGTGATTACAGGGTATATTCTTTTTTGTGTTGATACTGTGGTCCCAAAAAAGACCATTAAGATTTATCCAACTAACAAGGAATATATTACCCCCGAGATTAAGCAATATATTAGGCGGAGAAATCAAGCTTTTAAAAACAATAATAAAATGGGAGTTTAGAGAAATTCAAAGGGAACTAAGGAGAAAATTGAGGGAAGCGAGAGAGCAACACAATTTACTTGTTAGAGAAGCTATTTCAACTTAAAATACTAAAAAGCCGTGGGATGTTGTGAGAGGAATGATAAATTTAAATTCAAATAAGAAAGAAATACAGGTTTTAAATGAATTTGAAAAAGCAAATGAATTTAATAACTTTTATACTCTTTTTGAATTGACTGGTAGTGGTAGTATTGATAAATGTAGAGATTTGCTGAGTTCTGTAACATGTGATTTCACAAAGGATAGGATTGTGGTGGACCCAAGTGCTGTTGCTATATTTTTTAAAAGGCTGCATACCAAAAAGTCCAGTGGGCTGGATGGTATTTCAGCTCTTTTACTTAAAACATTTGCTGATGAATTAACTCCAGCCTGGAGTCCATTATTGCAATTATCACTCGACACTGGAATTATTCCTATAATATGGAAAAAAGCAGTCACTATCCCTGTTCCAAAAAAACATCCAGCAGAGGAAAACAATGACTTTAGACCAGTGGCGTTAACATCCATAGTGATGAAATCACTTGAACGTATTGTGACAGAGAAATTGAGAGAGAGTAGTGTATAAATTAGATACTTATCAATTTGCGTATAAAGAAAATAGGAGCACAGAAGATGCTTTGAATACTATGTAACATGTGATTTCACAAAGGATAGAATTGTGCTGTTGCGAAAATTTTTAAAAGGCTGCATACCAAAAAGTCCAGTGGGCTGGATGGTATTTCAGCTCTTTTACTTAAAACATTTGCTGATGAATTAACTCCAGCCTGGAGTCCATTATTTCAATTATCACTCGACACTGGAATTATTCCTATAATATGGAAAAAAGCAGTCACTATCCCTGTTCCAAAAAAACATCCAGCAGAGGAAAACAATGACTTTAGACCAGTGGCGTTAACATCCATAGTGATGAAATCACTTGAACGTATTGTGACAGAGAAATTGAGAGAGAGTAGTGTATAAATTAGATACTTATCAATTTGCGTATAAAGAAAATAGGAGTACAGAAGATGCTTTGAATACTATGACACACTTTATTTTAAAACACCTTGAAAATCCTGCAGCTTATGTTAGAGTGATGTTTATGGATCTGAGTTCAGCGTTTAATACTCTACTTCCAGATATTGTGTTATTTAAGTTAAAACAGAAGTGAACCCTTATATAATTAAATGTTATTATGCATTTCTACTGGGACGACAACAGCAAGTGAAAATTAATTCAACTTTCTCTGATATATTGGTCACAAATGTTGGAGCTCCTCAAGGCTGCGTAAGTTCCCCCCTTCTTTTTACATTATATACGAATGATTGCAGGAATCGGTACATAAACAACTACATTATTACATTTTCAGATGATACAGTTATACTTAGTTTGCTGACAAACAATTCAGATGTCGGCATGTATAAATCAGAGATAGAAGGGGTTGTGCAGTGGTGTGAGGAACACAACTTGATGTTGAATGTCAAAAAAACTAAAGAAATGATCTTTGACCCGAGGTTGGTGGGTGATCATAGTCCAATTTTAGTTAATGAGGAGGAAGTTGAGCAGGTAACAACATATAAGTATTTAGGTATCTACTTTGATTCTCAGCTACAATGGAGTCATCAAGTGGACTATGTTTGTACATGAGCTAGTCAGCGCTTACATTTTTTGCGAAGGCTCAGGGTTCATGGGGTGGATAATGTTACTGTTTTACAGATCAGCTATTGAATCTATATAATGTTATGGTTTTACAATATGGTTTGGAAATTTGACTGTTAAACTAAAAGGTCACAATTTCAAAATTTGGTTAGAAGAGCTGGACAAATAATTGGTATGTTGTCTCCACTTTCTCTTCAGGACATTTTTGCGAGGTCTGTTAGGAAGCAGAGTCTTAAAATTATTGGTGACCCAAGCCATATTCTCCTTAAGGAGTATGAGCTAATGCCCTCGGGCAGGAGATATAGGGTTCCAATCTGTAAGCTGAAAAGATACACATTTTCTCTAATTCCATTATCTGTCAAATTATTGAATAAGTGATTGAAATTGTTGTGTGGGTGAGGGTAATGTGATGGGTAACATGTAATGTTGGTGTATTATTAGGATTGTGTAGGAATTATATATGTTTTGGAATGGTGTTATTTTTTTTTTGTACGTTTGATCTGCTCTCCCGGTTGCCTAAGACAAATTTCTCCTAAGGGAGACAATAAAAGAGAAACTTAACTTAAATGTATAATATCCTCCATAATTTCAGATATATTGCTCTGACCCTTCTTGGCACTGAGTGTACAAGTTTATGACAAACTGGCACATCTGTCAGGTGTAACTCCTGGAGGATGACCTTCTTAAATGCTCTAGTCTTTAATGGAGAGTATTGCTACTCGTCTCTATAGAATCCCCCACAGGTGCTCAAGAGTGTTAAGATTGGGTGAAATACGTGTTCACTGAAAGATTTTCACCATGGGAGAATGCATATTGAATTATTATTATTATTATTATTATTATGACAAAAAATGCGGGGAATGAGGAGAGGGTAGCACCTTCCTGTTTCAAGTTTTTGTATTACATCACACGGTGGTGTGTGAATTTCCAGTGTGGACAACAACCATACATGCCACTTCTGCAGGCTGCATCTTACTCTGTGAGATAAACAGTCACTCTTTTTATAGCTTTTGCCTGCTCTGAAACACTCGTTTGGTATTTCTCCTGCTCTTTCTCTAGAAAAACAAATCACTCATCACTAAACGAAAGCTTAAAGTGAAGGCCTTATTATTTCAAGGGTCTTGTCGCAAGTCCATTGTTTTTGAATTTCTGTCACTTTTGCTATATTTTCACACTTAGAACAATGATTTGGCATTCCTCTTGTACTATTGTCCTCTTTTGTGCTAAACAGGAAGTCTCCTGACAGTTCTCTCCCAATTGGTTCTATTGTTGTCAGCATTAGGTCTGGGAATGATTCAATGAGTGAGTTGTGAGTCAAATCATTAATTTAGTCGAGTCATTCAATCAGTTTTGTCACTCTATTTTTATTGGGGAAATAGACAAAATAGCAATATGTAATTTTTTCCCATAATAACTTGTGTATTGAACTGTATAAAAGCATTTTTAATCATATCAAAATCTGGTTCAATTATTGTTTCTGCAGTGTTTACTAGAAATACTTGTTTTCTAGTCACATTTTTTCTCAGCTCTTACCTAATGTATTACTTAACTCCATAATAAAAACTCCTTTCATTGCAATATTCTTATCTGCTGTTTCTGTACTATTCTAGGAAGTATTGTTAACATGACTTCATTAGCTGTCCTTATGTATTTCATGCTTGCTTTTCTTCACAGAGATTAGCCCATGAGACTCTCAGAGCCTGAGCATGAATCAGGGAAGCGGTGCTTGTTTGTGGACCTCAGTGCCTCAGCACTGCCCCGCACCATGTGATCGTTACAAGCATGCGTCTTGTGCCCACAGAGGCCATGTTTATGTACTAGGTGGCAGAGAAACACGCTTACTGAGAGATTTTTGGAAATATAATATGGGTAAGTCATTGTTATTTATCTGCGGCTGCCTGCTTCTTTGTACACTTGTCCTCGTTATTGCATAGTGTATGATTCCTGCTGCACTGATTATAATTTATGGAAAATGTATATATTTTCAGTCTGTGACAAGTGGGCCGAGCTTCCCTGTGATAGTGAAGAAGCGCCTGAAGAACTGGAGGAGCACACAATGGTAGCATATCAGGTAATTGCAATAAATTCACAATTCATTCATTCCATGGTTTGCAGTGCATGCAAATCATGCACTACATTCCAAGTCCTCCACATATGGCAAATATATATACTTCAGTATACAAAAATGGCCAAAATAATTCCTGTTATACTCCTTAAAAGGGTCATGCCATATAGTATATACTTGATTATTTCCACATATTACTTTAGTAAAAAATATTTGCACCAAAAAGAGTAAATTAATTTACCATTTTTCTTTCTAGGGATTTCTGTATGTCTTTGGAGGAATGCAAGATTCATCATATACTAACTCAAAAATGCCTCTTTGGGTGTTTGATACAGGTTTTTTTTTTTTCATTCAATGCATGTTCAGTGGGGCTCCAAAATGTCTGAGCCCACTAGAAAAAAGGTTGTTGTTTTTTTTTCATGCAAAAAAAGTACTTTCATTTTTATTGGAATTTAAGTTAAAAACTTGAATGGAAAAAAAATGTATATAGCTTTCGGAATTTGTGTATTATTTGTTTGTTTTGCTTTAATGACACTAGCACTTGTGCTGCATGAACGCAGATAGTGTTTTACCACACTGTAATATGCCACTTTTTCGTTCACGTCTTCAGTTTTATATTCTTTGCAGTAAAAGAGTGCTGGATTAACTGGAAAACAAGGAGTGAAACTTTACAGGTAAACATCTTTTTTTTCTTTTATAAGAACTACAGCTGAAACGTGAACCTTTTATTATAGTGAACTGTTTTTGTAGGGAGAGACACCAGCAAACAGAAAAGGGCACAGTGCTGTCATTTTTGGGTCATCTATGTATGTCTATGGTGGATACATTGATATAAGAGGATCAACAAAGGAATTCTGGAAATTTGATTTTGGTGAGTGTTATCACATAGCAGTGGATTTATGTTTTTTATAAAACATCATCGAAGACTAAATATTTATTTGAAAAGTGTGACTATGACCCCAGGTATGATTTCTGTATGATTTACTGTAAATATTGCTAAATGACCTTACCAAATACTGATATTTTCTACATGTTAGATTCCAGGGTGTGGTCGCTCCTAAGCAGTGTACAAGGTGGGCCTGGTCCCAGACATGGTCACTCAGTTATGACATACCAGGACTCTATGTACCTTTACGGTGGCCTGCAGGGCCTGAGGGAACAGAAGGACCTGTGGAGCTGGAGTTCTGCCAGCCAAATCTGGAGCTGCATCAATTTCCAGTGAGCTTCTTTGTTAATATCTATCTATCCATCCCATAAACCCTGATTGCCATATAAGTAATCAATAGATTTGGCCCAACCTTGCAATGTTTATAACTACAAACCTTTGAAAGATATTCAAAGTTTTGTTTGACGTAATTAGTAGGAAGCCAACTACATGTTCCCAAGCAGAACAGAATATTCACAGCTGTTTCCTGTGCCAGTCTATTATTGTAGTATCATATATTTCTGATTAACTCATCCCTAAATGACACATAAAAACAAAAACTGTGGTTGGTCGCTTTACAGCATGATGCAGTGTCTTCTAGTTTAACAGAATTTGTTTCTTCATTGGAAAAGATTTTGAGAAATGTAGCATTACATCACTTGCTCACCAGTGGATCCTCTGCAGTAAATGGGTGCCGTCAGAATGAGTGCACAAGTAATTCACACCACTCCAGTCCATCCTTTAAGGTTTTGTGAAGCAAAAAGCTACATGTATTTAAGAAACAAATCATTCAGTGCACTTCTGGCCAAAATACCAGTTCATAATCCTTAATGGCACTTCCTCCAGTCCACCCCGTTGTCCTCTCACATCAAAATCCATCAGTATGTTTGTTTAGAACTGTTTAGACTAAATGGTGCTTGATTTGTGCATATTTCTCTAGTGATTCAGATAAGAAACATTACAGTTGGTGGATTGCATACAATATTTGTGAATTATTGTGTTTTATCAGCTGAATGCTCATTCTGACAGCACCCATTCATTGGTGAGCAAGTGATGTAATGCTAAATTTATCCAAATCTGTTCTGATTAACAAACAAACAAACTCATCTACATTATACTGAGGGTGGTTACATTTTCAGCAAATTTTAGTTTTTGAGTGAATTATTCCTTTAATTTTGATAAATTGCTTTTTCCCCCTTCAGGCATGAACTTAAACACTAACACTTCTATGATCTCTTACTCTGCAGTTCAGGTCCTTCCAGGCTGGTTGGTCACTCTGCTGTATTGTTTAAGGACAGCATGCTCATCTTTGGCGGTGGGGAAACCCAGAGCTCTCCTCAGAGCAGCTTGTGGAGGTTCAACCTGACAACAAAAACCTGGAAGAAGCTAGCAATGTTGCCTGGATCCCCCGCTCTGTGCCGGATCCATCAACACTTAGAACAATGATTTGGCATTCCTCTTGTACTATTGTCCTCTTTTGTGCTAAACAGGAAGTCTCCTGACAGTTCTCTCCCAATTGGTTCTATTGTTGTCAGCATTAGGTCTGGGAATGATTCAATGAGTGAGTTGTGAGTCAAATCATTAATTTAGTCGAGTCATTCAATCAGTTTTGTCACTCTATTTTTATTGGGGAAATAGACAAAATAGCAATATGTAATTTTTTCCCATAATAACTTGTGTATTGAACTGTATAAAAGCATTTTTAATCATATCAAAATCTGGTTCAATTATTGTTTCTGCAGTGTTTACTAGAAATACTTGTTTTCTAGTCACATTTTTTCTCAGCTCTTACCTAATGTATTACTTAACTCCATAATAAAAACTCCTTTCATTGCAATATTCTTATCTGCTGTTTCTGTACTATTCTAGGAAGTATTGTTAACATGACTTCATTAGCTGTCCTTATGTATTTCATGCTTGCTTTTCTTCACAGAGATTAGCCCATGAGACTCTCAGAGCCTGAGCATGAATCAGGGAAGCGGTGCTTGTTTGTGGACCTCAGTGCCTCAGCACTGCCCCGCACCATGTGATCGTTACAAGCATGCGTCTTGTGCCCACAGAGGCCATGTTTATGTACTAGGTGGCAGAGAAACACGCTTACTGAGAGATTTTTGGAAATATAATATGGGTAAGTCATTGTTATTTATCTGCGGCTGCCTGCTTCTTTGTACACTTGTCCTCGTTATTGCATAGTGTATGATTCCTGCTGCACTGATTATAATTTATGGAAAATGTATATATTTTCAGTCTGTGACAAGTGGGCCGAGCTTCCCTGTGATAGTGAAGAAGCGCCTGAAGAACTGGAGGAGCACACAATGGTAGCATATCAGGTAATTGCAATAAATTCACAATTCATTCATTCCATGGTTTGCAGTGCATGCAAATCATGCACTACATTCCAAGTCCTCCACATATGGCAAATATATATACTTCAGTATACAAAAATGGCCAAAATAATTCCTGTTATACTCCTTAAAAGGGTCATGCCATATAGTATATACTTGATTATTTCCACATATTACTTTAGTAAAAAATATTTGCACCAAAAAGAGTAAATTAATTTACCATTTTTCTTTCTAGGGATTTCTGTATGTCTTTGGAGGAATGCAAGATTCATCATATACTAACTCAAAAATGCCTCTTTGGGTGTTTGATACAGGTTTTTTTTTTTTCATTCAATGCATGTTCAGTGGGGCTCCAAAATGTCTGAGCCCACTAGAAAAAAGGTTGTTGTTTTTTTTTCATGCAAAAAAAGTACTTTCATTTTTATTGGAATTTAAGTTAAAAACTTGAATGGAAAAAAAATGTATATAGCTTTCGGAATTTGTGTATTATTTGTTTGTTTTGCTTTAATGACACTAGCACTTGTGCTGCATGAACGCAGATAGTGTTTTACCACACTGTAATATGCCACTTTTTCGTTCACGTCTTCAGTTTTATATTCTTTGCAGTAAAAGAGTGCTGGATTAACTGGAAAACAAGGAGTGAAACTTTACAGGTAAACATCTTTTTTTTCTTTTATAAGAACTACAGCTGAAACGTGAACCTTTTATTATAGTGAACTGTTTTTGTAGGGAGAGACACCAGCAAACAGAAAAGGGCACAGTGCTGTCATTTTTGGGTCATCTATGTATGTCTATGGTGGATACATTGATATAAGAGGATCAACAAAGGAATTCTGGAAATTTGATTTTGGTGAGTGTTATCACATAGCAGTGGATTTATGTTTTTTATAAAACATCATCGAAGACTAAATATTTATTTGAAAAGTGTGACTATGACCCCAGGTATGATTTCTGTATGATTTACTGTAAATATTGCTAAATGACCTTACCAAATACTGATATTTTCTACATGTTAGATTCCAGGGTGTGGTCGCTCCTAAGCAGTGTACAAGGTGGGCCTGGTCCCAGACATGGTCACTCAGTTATGACATACCAGGACTCTATGTACCTTTACGGTGGCCTGCAGGGCCTGAGGGAACAGAAGGACCTGTGGAGCTGGAGTTCTGCCAGCCAAATCTGGAGCTGCATCAATTTCCAGTGAGCTTCTTTGTTAATATCTATCTATCCATCCCATAAACCCTGATTGCCATATAAGTAATCAATAGATTTGGCCCAACCTTGCAATGTTTATAACTACAAACCTTTGAAAGATATTCAAAGTTTTGTTTGACGTAATTAGTAGGAAGCCAACTACATGTTCCCAAGCAGAACAGAATATTCACAGCTGTTTCCTGTGCCAGTCTATTATTGTAGTATCATATATTTCTGATTAACTCATCCCTAAATGACACATAAAAACAAAAACTGTGGTTGGTCGCTTTACAGCATGATGCAGTGTCTTCTAGTTTAACAGAATTTGTTTCTTCATTGGAAAAGATTTTGAGAAATGTAGCATTACATCACTTGCTCACCAGTGGATCCTCTGCAGTAAATGGGTGCCGTCAGAATGAGTGCACAAGTAATTCACACCACTCCAGTCCATCCTTTAAGGTTTTGTGAAGCAAAAAGCTACATGTATTTAAGAAACAAATCATTCAGTGCACTTCTGGCCAAAATACCAGTTCATAATCCTTAATGGCACTTCCTCCAGTCCACCCCGTTGTCCTCTCACATCAAAATCCATCAGTATGTTTGTTTAGAACTGTTTAGACTAAATGGTGCTTGATTTGTGCATATTTCTCTAGTGATTCAGATAAGAAACATTACAGTTGGTGGATTGCATACAATATTTGTGAATTATTGTGTTTTATCAGCTGAATGCTCATTCTGACAGCACCCATTCATTGGTGAGCAAGTGATGTAATGCTAAATTTATCCAAATCTGTTCTGATTAACAAACAAACAAACTCATCTACATTATACTGAGGGTGGTTACATTTTCAGCAAATTTTAGTTTTTGAGTGAATTATTCCTTTAATTTTGATAAATTGCTTTTTCCCCCTTCAGGCATGAACTTAAACACTAACACTTCTATGATCTCTTACTCTGCAGTTCAGGTCCTTCCAGGCTGGTTGGTCACTCTGCTGTATTGTTTAAGGACAGCATGCTCATCTTTGGCGGTGGGGAAACCCAGAGCTCTCCTCAGAGCAGCTTGTGGAGGTTCAACCTGACAACAAAAACCTGGAAGAAGCTAGCAATGTTGCCTGGATCCCCCGCTCTGTGCCGGATCCATCACTGCAGCATTGGCATAGGCCAGAGTTTCCAGCCAACATCACCAAACAGCATTTATTTAAGAAAAATACCCAACTCTCACAACATCTATAACAAGCTAAGACCATTTAAGAACAAGTGCCAACCATCCCGCCCCACTTTGCAAGAGCCCTGTATTGAGCTCCAGACTTTCCACATGGACAAAACAAAGTATTTACCAGATTTAAGTATTGCAGTGAAAGACACTAAGCTGAAAGGAACCTGTCTCACCCAGGAGGCTATTAGCGAGAAGCGGAATAGTGGTGACCTGGCAGAGGAAACCGAGGACGCCATGTTTCTCCATATGCCTGACTTGCTGTTAGTCCTGGGTGGTAAACCTCTACAAGGACAGCATGCGATTTCAGTGTGGCATATGACAATGGCATAAATCTGTTGTTTTTAGTGCATTCAACTTTCTCTGTGAGAAAATAATGAATGGGCCTTAGCAACAATACCTATATCCTGTTGGAGAACAATTGAATTCAGTCATGTACAAAATTTTCACAGTGTTTGTAATTATTACATTGACTCGTATTACATGCTAGGAATCAATCCAAACATTGTCACATTTTGTAATTTGCTTTGTATGCGTTTTGTTAGATCCATGTATATTGCTGTCAGAACACATTCATTTTCCTGCCTTCGCATCGTTTCAGGATAACTGCACTCAAACGATTTAATAAGTAATGCATTACATGAGTAATCCCTTTGCAGCAATCAAAAATGTGTTGCAGGGCCAATGTTAAAACCAACACTAGTCTGTATTTATTTTTGGATTGCTAAAAAAAGTAATCTAACAAAAACAAATATTGCTAGAAAACTACATTTGTAGCATATTTGCATTAAATTTACATTTAGTCATTTAGCAGACACTTTAACCAAAACGGCTTACAAATGAGGACAAAAGAAGCAATCAAACCAACAAGCCAACCTAATAATATGTAAATGCTGTGAAAAGTCTCGGTTAGTCTAACACAGTAAACGTAGCAAATTATTTTTTAATATATAATAAATAAAAAGGAAACAAGTAGATAGAATAGAAAAAAATAGAGAACGCTAGTGCTAGAGGGACATTTTTTTTTAATAAATAGAAAAGTCAAAAGAAAAGAAAAAGAATAGAGGACGCTAGTGTTAGATGGTCATTTTTAATAATAAATAAAAAGAAAACAAGTAGTGAGAATAGAAATAGGATAGAGAGTGCAAGTGTTAGAGGGTCATGTTTTTTAAAAATAAATAAATAAACGCTGTACTAAATATAACTATAATAGCTAGAAAATGTTACAATAATACAACATAAAACTAATTTAAAAAGGGAATTAACTGCTTGTAATCACTAATTGTTAAACAAGTTCATTTCTACATGCATGTAGTGTTTATTGCCACTGGAGGGGGACAAACTTCGCAAGTCACGCTACACATAAGTTCAACAAATGCACAGATACATTCATTCATTATTCTAAACTTTATTTAATTTATTTGTACATTGAAACAAAAGAAAGAAAAATATAGTTCACATCTGTAGGCTAAACAGATGCATACCATCATCAGTATCCTTTATCCTTAATATTAATGGATAACAAAATGTTCCATTATGAAAAGTGTGACATAAATTCAATAGATTTTCCCAAGGCAAGACATTCAAGTTACAGAAGAACTGAACACATGACAAGGGTCATAATACAAAGTGTCCTTTTAAATTGTATTGAACTGAATTGTGTAGAGAATTAATCATATTAGGACACACCACACATATATGGCTAAAAAGTGTTTATATATATTGATAATCTGTATGAAGGCATGGTTTGTTCACTTTAGACTGCAAAACTGGTATGGAGGTCCACAGGGCTGTGTCCTGAGTCCTCTGCTCTACTCTCTCTACACTCATGACTGCTTGTCTTCCCACAGCTCCACATCTATTATCAAATTTGCTGATGATACTGTGGTTCTGGGCCTCATTTCCAACAACAATGTCATACTTGGATGAGGTAGAGAAACTCACAGCATGGTGCCAGGACAATTGTCTCTCTATGAATGTGAGTAAAACTAAAGAGCTGATTGTGGACTTAAGGAAGAGACAGCAGCGGCCCTATACTCCTCTTATGATCAGTGGGACCCCAGTGGAGAGGGTGAGCAGCTTCAAGTACCTTGGTGTAAACATCTCAGAGGACCTGACTTGGACTTCACACATCCAAACTCAGGTTAATAAAGCCAGGCAAAGACTGTACCATCTGCGACAGCTGAGAAAATTCAGGGTTTCGCCAGCAATCCTGAAAACTTTCTATTCAGGGACCATAGAAAGTGTATTGCCACTCAGTGTGGTATGGGAACAGCTCCAGTCAAGACTGCAAAGCCCTGCAGAGAGTTGTACGCTTAGCTGAGCGCATCTCAGGGTCTGCTCTCCCCTCTCTACAGGACATCTACCTCAAACGCCACAAACGCAGAGCTGTTAAAGTCATCAAGGACTCCAAACACCCTGGTAACTGTCTTTTCACTTTGCTGCCATCTGGTAAGCGCTTCCGTAGCCTGATGGCAAAAACCGAGAGACTTAGGAGGAGCTTCTTCCCCCAGGCCATCAGGTTCCTAAACTCAAACTCAGTCTCTTAACACCAACATGACTTCACTTAATTATCATTAAGACACTTAATATACTGACATTGTCACTTGCACACAGCAATTTCTGTAATATTTTATGTATTTACTTTTTTAACTCAATTGCTGCTATGTAACAACCCTGTACAACCTGTTTTCACATTCTTCTCTTGTACATTCCTGCTCATCTTAATATTTATTAAGTCTACAGTATACTGTCCTGCGCATTTTATTTTATTCTTGTTTTTTTTCTCTTTTTTCCATACCTATATTTATATATAATTTTCTTGTGTTTGTATTCTTTAATAATTGCACTGTCCATGGAGCGGACCTGACTTACATTTCACTGCAGGTCATATGTTCTCTATATAACCATGTATGTGACAAATAAAAATCTTCAATCTTCAATCTTGAAGGTTGTATCTTCAGAAAAGGGGCACATATTCTTAAAAAAAAGGTGCTCTCTTACCCAGTCTGTTTAATTCTGCAGAGAGGTGGCATAAATTCACAAGAACTACAATTGCAAAAAAAAGAATAATTTATGAATACAGAAACCAAACCCATTAAAATATTAAGTTGAATATTATAATTAGACTCAATATTCATGATGATATCTGTGAATACTCCAGATTTTATAAGACAAATTTATTATTAAAGATTTTCCATGAGAAAGAAAGAATCCCAAATTTAAAGATAGACGTGTTCATAGAAGATGCCCAGAAAATGTAACGTGTATTTATTTTGTTGAAGCGATAGAGGGCGTCATATCACTTCAGAAAAGTTGGCAATGCAATCCTCCTATCCGCAGTACAAAAAGTCGATTAATAACCTACTTAAATAGCCTATACTGGCAAACAAAGCGACACTTGAGGGAATTTCCTACAAGTCTTAATCGTTGCAAAAGCGCCTGCATTATTTCATTAATCATTACAGAAACTGATCTGAAATAAGTGCCTATTAAACCATAAAGGTTTTGCTTTGTTAGTTAAATACTACTACTAATAATAATAATAGCTCGATGTGTAAACTGACGTGAAAACAAGTACTGGCCATTTATATTATGCTTCAATGTTTTATTATGCTTCTTGAAAGAACCCGTTTTCTGTTGCGTTATGAAAGCCCTGCAGTCTTGTGCTTTCACAATGAAAAGTTGATGTAAAACGGCTCTTACGTGTCACACACAGATCCAGCGGTCATGCTCGCTCGCTCTTTCTGGATTGATGCGGCTCTGTGAGCTCAACCTGTTTTAGCGCATATAACAATCTCTCGCTCGCAGTTGGTCGAGCGTCCCACGTGGTTTGAAGTATAAAAAAGTTTCAGCGCGAGGCGCTTTAGTGTGGTGATTACACGAGAGAAAAGACCAAAGGACAACATCTCTCCCGAGGCTGAAGAAATACGCACGAACACACACAATTCACAACACTATTACTGAGAGAAGAGGAGCACGAGCTATTGATATTCGGTGGAAAGACAAAGAGTGACATTTTGTCTTCAAACAAGAGAGATTTTTTTGACTACACTGACCTTTAAAGGAATACAAGATTAGTAACCGGTTTGTTTTGATTCTCAATTTGTCAGTTCCCTTGGAGATGCGGAGACGTTTTCGCGCTTTTAACGAGCGTCAGTTAAGACTGAAGTTTTCGCGACTAGCCCTCATTATTACTCGGTGTGTTTACCGGGCGATAAAAACACACTTTCTGTGAACGTCTCACAAAAGTGACCGCGAGCATGGTGATGAATGGACATCTGTCAAAGGAGGTTGTTGGAAGTACAACTCTGTCCTGTTTATAGGTCAAATTATTTTACGGTAGGAATTCATGAACTGATTTGTTTGTTGAATGGACACGTTATTTAAGAAAATGAGTATTTCCATCCTCTCTGTAACCTGTTTAATGGCTTGCATACTCTCAGTTCAGTGTAGTCTGGGAGCTGAGACTGTGTCTCAGGAGTCTCAGTGTGCCTCTTGTGGACTCGGGCATCCGGATGATTCGGGGCGAATGGACACAGACTTTCTGGAGGCGGTTAAAAGGCACATATTGAACCGACTGCAGATGAGAGAGAGACCAAATATCACTCATCCCATTCCCAAAGCTGCCATGGTAACGGCGCTGCGCAAACTTCACGCGGGTAAAGTTCGGGAGGATGGGAGGGTTGAAATTCCCAACTTGGATGGACATGCTGCCCACAACGAGGTGCAAGAAGAAACGTCGGAAATAATCAGTTTCGCCGAGTCAGGTGGGTACAAGATCTAGAATATTCCATCTTCCAGAAATGTTGACAGTCTGTTCGTTAAAAATAATGATATTTAAGCATGTTTTATATTTTGCAACATCTGCATAATGTCACTAAAGTTGAGCATAATTAAGTGTACAAGTACAAATTATTAACTTACATTTCTGGAGTACATTTATTTTTGGGGCGTGCAACGTTCTTTTATCACAAAACATGTTTGGAATTCACAGAATTCAAGTACAAATATTACAAGTCAAATACTTAATTTACAGGTCAGATTGCTTACTTTGTTTCCAAAGTATTAGCATAGTGTCAGTAAACGATGACTACATTGTGTGACTTCAGTAAGCTGTGACTTTCAGTGGGGTCTGATCCAATACTTATTGAGATGCTTCGCTGCCTACTGCCTTCATAGGCAGCATCCGAACAGAGAAAGGACTTCATAAATGAGTGGTTTGAAAAGCTTCACATATTTTCCAGTTCCATGTTTTGCACTATTTATGAGTATTTCTTTTTAGATCTGAACGACATGTATATTATATGCACAATAAGGATTGATACTTTACGTTAGCAACATGGTAATGATGCCTTAATATTATACAGGGGCTGACTTGGTTCTGCAACAACGTCTTTTTTCACACCAAAGTTTTTTCTGCGAATGCAATACAGTAAATTACAGTACAGAATATTACTGAATTGCCGTAAACAAGTGTTGCCGTTTTGCTTCAGTGGGTCTTTGAGGGTTAATGATACATCCTTGATATGATACTGGTATTATGTAACTGGAGCAACTAGAACACATGACCCCCTCTTAACATATAATTAGATATGCTGACAGAAAATAATAAGTAATTTGTCAAATTATGACCTTTGCTAGGTGGGTGTTGAGGCAATTACAATCTTAGAACTTCCCCGGGAACGCCAAGAGAGCATCAAAAACATGGCAATCAAAGTATTACAGATAATTCGTTAATAAGAGGGCAAGAACATTATCACGCCTTTTCACAGACAATACAGCCATAAAATCTTTTGTTAAAACCAATAAAAACGAATGCCTTTTATTGAAGTGTATATTTCTTTGAAGTGACTACAGGTTTCCCATGGTCATGAACAAACTGGAAATATGAGGTCTGAAAAAAGTAATAGAAATATAATGAATGTAAATTCAATTTTATTTTATTTTTTTATACAA